AGAGTGTTACATCTTTTTTTTGAACAAGAGTTAGGATAAATCCAGCAACTACAGGTCAGTCACTTTAACCACAGTGGTGGAAACACTAGCAGAAACAATAATCTGGGACAAAAATATCACTTGGATAAATGCCGATTAAGGAAAGCCAGCATGGATTTCTTGAACGCATATTGTGTTCAACAAGTTTTATTGAGATTTTTGCTGAGGTGACAGATACGTTTACATCAACGTTTGCCAATAAAGCTGCAATCTAAAGAATAAAGTGGACATAGCAACACAGACAAATTCAAAATTTGAAGAAGCCACAAAACTTCAAATTATACTGAACTGAGAGAAACAGTAATAAACTTCAAGAGAACACGTTGATGGGTAGATATTTGTCAGATAAAATTTAACCTAAATAAGCATTAAAGTGACATTTTTCAGTAAGAAGAACAAAGAGATGCAGTAAAAAGAAATGTTGTCCCTAATACTGTTGCACTTTAGGAAGGATGTGAATGCTTTAAAGATGTTGGGGAAACTGTTTACAAGAATGGTTCATGTGATGAAAGACAGAGAGATGAATAGCATGAAAACAGCCCCTTCCATCCAACTTGTCCATGTCAACCTGATATGCTAAATGTATCTAGCTCCATTTGCCAGCATTTGGCCCATATCTCTCTAAACCTTTCCTATGCATGTACCCATCCAGGTGCCTTTAGAATGTTGTAATACCAGCCTATACCAACTCCTCTGGCAGCTTATTTCATACATGCACCACCCTATGCATGGAAAAGTTGCCCCTTAGGTCCCTTTTGAATCATTCTCCTCCCATCCTAAACCGACGTTCTCTAGGTTTGGACTCCCCTAACCTGGGGAAAAGACCTTGGCTAATCACTCTATCTATGCCCCTCATGATTTTATAAACCTCTACAACGTCACCCCTCAGCCTTCGACACTCCAGGGAAAATTTCCCCAGTCTATTCAGTCTCTCCCTTTAGTTCAAACCCTCCAATGCTGGCAACATCCTTATAAATCTTTTCTGAACCCTTTCAAGTTTCACAACATCCTTTCTATAGCAGGAAAATCAAAATTGAATGCAGTGTTCCAAAGTGGCCTAACCAATGTCCTGTACAGCCTCAACATGACCTCCCAACTCCCATACTCAATGCACTGACCAATAAAGGTAAGTGTACCAAACATCATCTTCACTACCATGTCTACCTGAAACTCCACTTTCAAGGAACTATGACGTGCACCCCAAGGTTTCTTTGGTAACACGCCCTAGGACCTTACCACTAAGTGCATAAGTCCTGCCCTAAGAGACACTGGTGAGAAGAGAAGAGAAACTGAGTGGAAATTTGATAGAGGTATTCAGAAATCTACATAGAGATGGGAAGAAATTATTCCTTTTAATGAAAGTGTCTAAAATGAGGGAACATATATTTAAGGCAACTGGTAACATAAGAAAAGACATGAATAAGGAAAAATGGTGCAAGTGGTTAGGATTCAGAATGTACTGCGAGTGTGTAGTGGAAGCAGATTGAAACACGGTTTTCTAAAGGAACTGATTAGCACTCAAAGGGAAAAAAACATTGTGCATTGCCAAGACAGGGTGGGCAGGCAAGCTCTTACAAACAGACAGGACGGGCATAATGGCATTGTGTGTTGTAAACGTTATAAATTGTGTAAATAGACTTTAAAACAAGTAATATCACTAAAAACTACTTTTTGTTTGATCTGAAGAGGATTGGGCAAGTTTATTGTTTCCTCTAATGATCAACAGAAGTATATATCTTTGCTACAGAAACCGATGCCACCATCCTTCCGGCATTACCAGGACAGGACCCAATGCTAATCCACTGTAGGGTGGGCAAAGCAATATAAAGTTGCCATCTGAAAGATGTCAGTTTTTTTCAAAGAAAAGTGTAAGGTAAAAGTGACATAAAATACTCCAGCTTAGGACAGTAATTAATGACTCGATAGAAATATAAGATCCTAAGGTCTTCAGAGGACAAGTGAGAAGATTCCTCTGGTGGGTGAACTAGAACTTCGGGACAACATTTCAAAATAAAGAGTCATGTATTGAAGACAGACGAGGAGAGATGTTTTGGCTGATGAAGACATGGTTTATACCTGTATTTGTTCTGGTGTCCACTGATCCAAGTTAACCGATTTCACTCGGGATATATGCACACCGAGGTTTCGGTGGATTCCTGCACACCTGATACAAATAAAAACACCAAGGTTCCAGGAAGCCCATCTTGGACCTGTAGGGAAAAGGAGACCAAAAATCAAGTTGGAATCTTCCCAAATTTCTTTAGACAAACTCAAGAATAATTTCCACTACTCTTTACTTTTTTAATTAAGACACTTCCACTTCATTAAGTAGGAAGCATATTCAAAACAATTATCATTACGGGGTTGAAAAAAAAAAGCCAAGATGGAAACAATAAGCAAAGATGAAAATTATTCAAGGCACATTCAACAAGACAGCTCTCCCTTCTGCATCTAGTAAACCTACCTTGCAGTTCAAACATGTGCAGGTTAGGTGGATTGGCCATGCTAAATTGCCCACAGTGTTCAGGGAGGTGTAGATTAGGTGGGTAATAGGGGGATGGGTCTGGGTGGGATGCTCTGAAGTTCAGTGTGGACTTGTTGGGCCGAAGGGGCTGTTTCCACACTGTAGGGATTCTACGATTCTATGATTCAAGCAGTCCTGGGCTTGAAGTTGCTCAAATTAAAAACTTTTCTACCAAAAGTATTACTTACCCAGATTTGGCCAATGCTTCCTTTTTTAAGGAGAAGAACTAAATTTGGTTTTGACCCTGGTCAGGTCCTGTCCAAATTGCCCAAGAACTTCTCTGGGTTTTCTAAGCCAATGATCTGCCTGTACTGCTCATAAACAAAGTTTTTCACTGTACTTAGGTATATATGACAATAAATCAATCAAAATAACTGCCCTGTACCAAAAACAAGCTAATGGCCCTCAGTGTTTACACCACCTGTCATAGGTAAATGATGGTACCCTAGCAGCTGATGTGCATATTCTTCAGAAAATTGCATTCACACACACACTTGGATTTGCTGTGAGAAAAATGCTATCTAAAGTATAAATAACACAGACTAGCAAGATTGGAACAGATGTAAAAACATTCAAACACAGAAGAAATAAAAGTTCTCAGAGATAATGTTCTACTTCCAGTACAAATGAACAGCTCTGTGAACTCTGAACAAAATGTAAATCATCACAAAACAAAGTACCTGCATGCACCAGCAGGATGGTGTACCACAAGTTTTAAAGATTTTGCAGGTAATAAATTTGTTCACGGATTGTTCTCTTACGGAGATTCATCTGTCTTCCTATCTAACACAATATTGATGGAAAGAAGTTGAGATGTAGCATCTGCAGTGTATTAGACAGCATTTGGTGGAATTACCTTATCTGTTTGTAATACAAAAGCAATTTTCGCTGTTGAATATTTTTATGCTGTCAGTAAGTTGGTCATGATGGAAATGGTGGTGTTTACTTCAGATGGTACTTCTGTTACTCTAGAGAAAAAGAACAGTGTTGCCACAAGACTTGAGTAGTGTTTCACATTTATGGACACAGCATGGCTCAGTGAAAAGACCTGGCATTAGGGAATGCCAAAACACCCACAATGAAGGAAATGGAGGGGTGGCACTTTTGAAGACCATTATACAATCTTGTGCAGATCCTCAGTCCAAAGAGGATAGTTTGAGGAAATGGCAGATGTCACAGAAAACGTGACTACTATTTAAACCTCTAAATGGTCAGAGTTCTCCATTTTACTCTAAGAGCTTTCATGCACAATTACAAAACCCTCCTTAAATATTTTGAGACCTCATTTTCAAAGTAATGACTTGATTAGTAGAGTGTTGCTTGGATAAAATCTGATATTAATTACCATATCACTAAACCACATGAAATAATGTCTTATATGAATTAAGGGAACTGTCTAAATGTTTTCAGAAGAAACTTTGACAACATTTGAAGCTGTACAGTTAGCATGAGCCAAGATCTGCAAGACAGGACTGTATCTCAGCAAGTGTCTTGGAGCGGTGTAAAAAATTTAGCTGCATTAAACACAAGAGATGAATAATCACGTAGTGAACCAACCAAGACTGATGATAAGCATAGAAAAATACTGGACCTTTGTCAAATTGAATCTTCCATCTTCCCAAAATACCATGAAGGAGGAGTCCATTGGAAAGTATCACAATGATTACAAATACATTTTTGTAAAGAATCATGAAGCCAAGTGGATGACAAATTGAAGAAATACTGATTTATAGTTTGTGTAAGTCCTTAACTAGTTGATCATTCCAAGCTCCCAATGCTGATTAGAAGCCCGGCTTCAGCCTTACAAATAATATCCAAATTAAATCATGAAACAGAAAGAATATCTCTTGAAGTTGCTAATGAGGATGAAAATTCACACTTGTAGTGATGGAGCATGGTGCATAAATATGAAGAGTGAAAAGAAAAGATTATTCATCAGGGTTAAATAACTGTCCCATTATTTAGCTTGTCAACTAGTTGCTCGGGGTCTTATTCCAGTGACGGTCATTAACGGTTAAGGGTTATCATCTTTCATTCCGAATATGATGCATGAATGGATGCAGAAATGTCTGCAGTATTAATATTCTTTTGATCCTCATTTTAAATAAACAAGCACAGCAACTTCCTTCTCCTTCTTATAATATTCATTTTTCGCCGTCCATATCAATGGTAACTAAGTGCATATTTACTTGATATTGGTGCACATGAAATTCGTAACACATGGCTGAAATGAAACAGGAAACAGTATCTCCAACATTCACCGGGGAGCCTCAAAGTTCTAGAGGCTACAGGAAAAGGCCCTTTGACTCATCAAGACTGTGTTGCCAAAAGCCACCTAACTATTCTAATCCTATATTCCTCTACTTGGCCGATAGTCCTGTATGCCCTGGCATCCAAGTGCACATTGAAATACTTCTTAAATGTTTCTGGGATGTCTGCTCTACCACCCTTACAGACAGCAGGTAGCAGATTCCCTCCACTGTCTGAGTGAAAAGATTATCATAGAATCCCTACAGTATGGAAACAGGCCATTCAGCCCAACAAGTCCACACCGACCCTCAGAACATCCCATCCCGACCCATCCCCCTAATCTACACATCCCTGAACACTACGGGCAATTTAGCATGGCCAATCCACCTAACCTGCACATCTTTGGACTGTGGGAGGAAACCAGAGCACCCAGAGGAAACCCACGCAGACATGGGGAGAATGTGCAAACTTCACGCAGACAGCTGCCCGAGGGTGGAATCGAACCTGGTCGCTGGCGCTGTGAGGGAGCAGTGCTAACCACTGAGCCACCATGTTACCCTTTATTGCCTCACAACTCCTATAGACCTTTTGTCCCTTGCGTTAAATGTACATCCCCAGTCATTGATTTTTCCATCAAGTGAGAAAATTTCTTCCAGTCTACCTTATCTATGTCTCTCAAATTTTACACATCTCAATCACATCCACCCCCACTCAGTCTCCTCTGCTCCAAGGAAAGCAACTCCAGTCTCTCCAAGCTCTCTTTGTAACACACTCGACAGCCAAAGCAACATCCTGGAAATCTGCTATGCAAGCCTAGTGCGATCACATCCCTCCTATAATATGAATTCCAAAACTTCACCTCATACTAGAGCTCATAATTAAACTGTCATTTTATGCAATTCCAGCATCACCTCCCTGCTCACAAACTCTAGACCTCAGGTAATAAAGGCAAATATCCCATATGCCTTCTTAGCCACTTTATCCACCTGCCCTGATACCTTAAGGGGCTGGTGTATATGCACGCCAAGGTCCCTCTTTCCTCAGCACTTCCCAGGGTCCTACCATTTGTCACTGCCTTCCTTGTCTTGCCCATGTGCATTACCTCACATTTATCTGGATTGAATTCCACTTGCCACTGATCAGCCTGACTGTATCCTGCTGCAATCTAAGGTCAGCCTCCTCACTCTCTTTTACCCCACCAACTTTCGTTTCATCTTCGAACTTAGTGATCAACCCTCTTACATTCAAGTCTAAATCATTTATGTATACCTTAAATGGCAAGGGCTTCAACATTGATCCTTGCTAAACCTTACTGGGCACAGGTTTCTAGTCACCAAAACATCATTCAATTACTACCCTCTGTTTCTTGCCACTCAGCCAATTCTGTGTCCAATTTGTCAAATTTCCTTAAATTGCATGGGCTTATACCTGTTATCAGTCTCCCTTAAAAGCCTTGAAGTCCATGTAGACGATGTTGAATGTACTCAGTTTCACACCTGGTTACCTCTTAAAAAATTCAATCAAGTTGCACAGATACAGCCTTCCTTTAACAAAGCCACGCCGACTGTTCCTGTTAATCCCTGCCTCTTTACATGCAGACTAATTCTGTCCCTCAGAATTGCTTTTAATAGTTTCCCCAAAAGTGAGGTTAGGCTGACTGACTTGTAGTTTCCTGGTTTATCTTCCTCCCTTCTTGAATAGCCTGTAGGACCTCTTTCACAAAAACAGAACCTCAAATAGACCTAGCTGACCAGCATCCTCTTCTGCCCGGCTAAACTTGGTCATAACTGAAATCATCAGGAATCAGGTTTGAATAACCTGAGGCTCTGATTGCGGCAAATCTTTCCAACTGAACAGGAATTCCAATAGAAAACTGCCTGTGACAAGACAAAGTTCCAGATTGCTGAAAAGACTGTATCTTTTTATTTTCCGGTAGTTATAATTGTGAATGGGACACAACTGTTTTAAAAACCAAAGAATGCTGCACCTTTTAAAAGCAAGTTATCTGGCACTCATTGTAAGTGTTGTTACACTACTGTGTTTAAGCAATGGTGGGAAGGAAACCGGACATGGGGTCACCTGCACAACCATCAACTTGGTCTACTCCATCCGCTGCACCCAATGTGGCCTCCTCTACTTCGATGAAACCAAGCGGAGACTCGAAGACCATTTTATAGAGCATCTGTGCTCTGCACGCGACAAACGAGAACACCTCCTGGTCGCAAACCATTTTAACTCCCTCCTCACTCCCTGGGTGACAAGTCCATCCTGGGCCTCCTCCAGTGTCACAATGACGCCAACCACAAACTGGAGGAGTAGCACCTCATATTCCACCTCAGGAGTCTACAGCATGATGGCCTAAACATGGAATTCATCAGTTTAAAATCTCCCCACCCCCGGCTTCATCCCACGTCCAACGTTCCCTCTCATCCCCAGCTCCTTGAGCTGACACAATCGGTCCGTCTGCTCTCCCACCTATCCGCCCCTCCCACCACACTGACCAATTCCCACCACTCCCTTCATTCACTCACCTATCACCATCCCACCTACCATCTCCAGGCCCACCCCTCCTCTCTATTTATTTCTGAGGTTCCTTCCCGCTCCCCATTTCTGAAGAAGGGTCCCAACCTGAAACGTGAACTTTCCTGCTCCTCTGATGCTGCCTCGCCTGCTGTATTCTCCAGCTCCACACTTTATTATCTCTGA